GATAGATAGATAGATAGATAGATAGATAGATAGATAGATAGATAGATTCAACAGATAGATTAAATAAAGAAGGAGAGGTTATATATACATCCTACTCTCATTCCTTTGTCAAATTGGAAACAGTCTGTTTCTTCATGTTCCATTCATGCTCTGGGCTTCCTGATCTATAATACAGGTTTCATGTGAAGACAGTCAGATGTTTGGTATTCCCGTGTTACTGAACATAGCTTGACATGGTTGGCACAAACAAAGGCTAATCAATGAAGCACACGCTGATTGGGAAGGTGGCATTCTGGGACTTTCTCAATTATCCTTAGTACATCCACAATATCTCTTGTTCCTCAGCCTTATTTAAAATCAGCTTGAACATCTGGCATTATTCTTACCACGTAATGCTGTGATTTATGTTGGATGTTCCTCAGCATTTTTTCCCCCTAGCATTTGAAATTGAAAACCTTCCAAAATAGTTTGCATACTGAGGCTTACTTGGTAAAATACCAAAGCTGTTTATAACTGCCTTCTCCTACATAATACGAAATGATGCTTTCTTCAATTGTCGCCAGAGCAATCAACTGCCTCTAGCATTTTCCTATATTGCTGCTGTGCAATGTAGGTGCCTCTTATTTTAGCTGGAAAGCTGGGATGATCTTCATGATTTGGTGACCATGCTGAGAAGATGTACTCTTGGAATACACCCTGGCATTCCATGCTCATCCATCCAAGGACCTCCCTCTCTGTCCCAATGAGGCAGCACAGCAGGTTTTGAAGGGTCTATAGCCAAAGTGTTTTATGCACCTTGAACTGTCAATGAATTGAATACAGAATACCTTATGCCACCAGACTTGAAATTCTAGACCTAGAAACCTAGAACTACACTGCCTTCAGTCCGATCTAAGTATAGTATATAAAATCATACATTGCAATGTCCTACCTGTCAATGAATACTTCAGCTTCAACCATAACAATACAAGAGCAAACAATAGATACAAACTCAAGGTTAATCGCACCAAATTTGATTGCAGGAAATACGACTTCAGCAACAGAGTGGTCAATGTCTGGAATACTCTACCTGACTCTGTGGTTTCTTCCCCAAACACTTTAACCATAGACTGTCTACTGTTGACCTCACCCCTTTCCTAAGAGGTCTGTAGGGGGCGTGCATAAGCGCACCAACGTGCCTACCGTCCCTGTCCTATTGTTTCTTTTATTTTTCTTATATGTACCCATTTCATGTATTCATAATTATGTTTATATTTATACCTATTATCTTTTAAGCGATTGACAAATCAAATCAAATAAATAAATAGAACATTTTGGGAAGTATGAACAAGTGTTCTGGGCCAGCAGGACATACTATAACATCTCTGTTTTATAAGACAGCTTGGGTTTTTTTAAAAAAAAAGCAAATTGCAGAGTTTCCACATCTCTTTCTTTTTGAAAATCTGACAAGGTTGCAGAGATGGCAAGGATGAGGTTTGAGTCATTTTGGTTGATCATTTTTTGACTCTGACTAGACATCCATCAAGACAAAAGTACTCTTAAGTTTGGGGAATGCGTTTCACAATTGAGATATCCAAGCCTGAAGCAATTCTGTATGATGCCCCCATGCTTTAATAAAGGAGCTGTAAAAGATTTGCCCACTCCTTCCATTATTGGCCAAACAATATTTGCAAATTTTATGAAAAGGAGCTATGGAACGTTTTTGAAATACTCATCAAATAGAAGAGGCAGCTTTGTTTTCACTGGCCATGCCCTCAACATATCTCTATATCTCTGTGTGTTCTATCTCACTCCACTCCACAGTCAAACCCTACTGAATGACAAGATTTAAAACAGAATTTCTTCCATTACATCTCCCATTGAGATGTATGTAAGATCTCAATATCAAAGAGAAGGATTAGGGAGGATGTCATGCTCCTGGTGGAGACTGACTCTGAGGGAGAGGAGGAACAGCCAACAGGGAGTGGAAGTGTGGCTCCGGATGTTGTGGAAGAGGCTGGGGAAGGGCAGAGGCCGGCTAAGCAGTCAGAGGAGGACCCAGGCCCATCCCCTATCCATCCTAGGGCACGCAGGAAGGAGAGGATAAGTGAGAGACGTGGTCTCCTCGGGAGGAGAGGGCCTTGATCCTCTTCATGGGCTGCAGGTGTGAGAACTGAATAAGAGTTTGGACCTGTGTACTGGCAAACGCTGGAAACAAAGCGTGTGTTATTTTGGTCTGAAGTTATCTTGGTTGGCGCCCTTCCAACAGACCGTGCCTTGTTATCTCCTTGAATTTGGTAAATACTTCTCTTGTTCCGTTGTGGAAATTTCATCATTGTAGTTTGTTTGGTTTTTTATTTCACCTCTATCTGCTCATTAAATTCGGACTGTATTGCTTTCTTTTGAAGACTATTTTTTATTACGTTTTATCTCCAACTGAGTATTATTGAACAGTGGGGCCAAATTGGAGGACATTTATTTACATTTTGGATTTTGTTACATTTGTGTTACACCTTGGGTCAACACATTACCTTCTAGTGCTTAAGGGACTGTCACAAAAAAAGAGGAGATTGACTAGGACACAGAGGGCAGGCCAAGAAGTAATGGATAGAAGCTGGTCAAAAACGGATAACAACCTAAAAATAAGGAGAAATTTTCTGACAGTGAGAGCAATTAAACAATGGAATAGCTTACCTCCTAGGGCTCTGGGTGCTCCATCACTGGATGTTTTCAAAAAATAGACTGGAGAACCATTTGACTGGGATTGTATAAGACTCCTGCCTTGAGCAGTACGTTGGACCAGAAGACCTCGAAAGTCCCTTTCAGTCCTATGATTTGATAATTCTAAGGAGAGGTCATCATAGAATCAGGTTTGCTACTTTCATGTAAAGTTCTGAAAACATTCACAGTCAAGCAAATACAACAAAACATCCACTTCATACTTTGCCATTTAATATCAATTGGAGAACTGATGGATTAGCTCATCATGCATGGTCCTTCCCATCTTAATCATGATTACATTTTCTTTTCAGCTGAACCTACACATGGTTACTCTGAATTGTATATTTGTGAAACCATGCATAGATGGGGTCCTTCTGGTCCTTCTGCTGTGGTTCTTTGTTGGATGTGATTTTTGAGAGGTGTAGTACAGCAGTATCTGGAAGGCCAATGGTTCTCACCAATACTTGAATAGAGCATATTGGGAACACTGGGCATTGCCATGTTCATCTGTAGAGCAACATAGGGATTGTTCTGCATTTCAGCCACATAATCTGGATAATTCTCTGGTGAACAAAGTAATTTCTGAGAATTCAGAAATTTATCAATACACTCTAAAGGGGTTTAAAACTCAACTTAATGTGCACATTAAAATAAATAGTAACTTCAATCATTTTGGGGAGATAATGAAGCTGCCATCTGCCTAGTTATAGCTGGGTATTCAACATCATGGTAGCACAGTAGTTAGAATGCAGTATTACAGGCAAACTCTGCCCACAGCCAGAAGTTTGATCCTGAGCAGCTCAAAGTTGACTTAGCCTTCCATGCTTTCGAGGTCAGCAAAATGAGGACACAGATTGTTTTGGGGGCAATATGTAAACAATGCTTACATTGTAAACCTCCCAGAGAGTGCTGTAAAGCACTATGGTGGGGTGGTAAAGAACTCTAAATATCTATTGCTATTTCTGTTTTGCCATCTATAGGTTCAGAGCATCACTCGTTCTCAGACTAGCATGGGGATGCGTCACAGGGACCGTTCGACTACTGGGAATACGTTGAAGACTGGCTTCAATTCCGCATTGACGACATACTTTTTTGGAGCTGATTTGAAGGGGAAACTGACCATCTCCCACTTCTTGGAGTTCCAGCGGAAACTTCAGCATGACATTCTCAAACTCGAGGTTAGTGTCTAATAATCCACAGGGATCTTGCTTAACTCACTTTCCATTTGCTTACAGATTTGTTATATTAATATCATTAGCTTTCATTAACAGGGACACAGCTTATTTCAGCAGATGGTATAATCTGTGCACCCAGGAGGTCTAATTCCTTTCACTTCCCATGAGAATCCAGATTCTTTTAGATTTCCTGAAATATCCCAGATAGCCAGATGAACGGTTGGTTGATTCTGGAGCAGTGGGCTAAAAAACAACAACTATATTGCTGCACAAAATATTTCTATTCTGCAGTTAAAAAATAACACACTCTTGCTTTTAGTTTTCTGACCTGATTTCATCTATTACATGTGTCCCAAACTTTTCCCCTTTAAGATTAAATGTCTCTCTCCATCTATCTATCTATCTATCTATCTATCTATCTATCTATCTATCTATCTTTCCAGTATTATACACAAAAACGTATTACTTGAAAGCAGATGAGTTTGTTTTTCTTTTTAAAAAATTATATGTTATGTATGTTCTTAAGTTTATGTCAAATTTAATATTTACAGTGTGATAATCTCTCTTTTGTAGGACTAAAAAGGGCATACTGCACATTAATCAATTTCAAGGAATATTTGATAGTTATAACGTAATGCTGTTTGGTTAATTAAAATAGGCTGTCATAAATAACTTAGGTTATAACTGTCTAAAATTAATCTGCTTTTTGAAAAATACAATGAAGTATATCCTAGGTCAGGGGTTCCCAACCTGGGGTGCGAGACGATATTCCAGGGGGTGCGAGAAAAGTCCAGGTAAATAATAGGATATTGGCTATATGTTGGCATTTTTATTTTATTTTGCAATGGATTAACTTTGTTTTCATTTTAGAGTTAAGTATCGTTATTTAGTGGCCGTCACATACATAGCTGAAAAGATTCAATCCTACCATATATTTAACGCGTTCAGTAGTTCCTAAAGTCTAAATTTCAGGGGGTGCAAGGTTCGAGTGAAATTGTCCTAGGTCAACTGCTATTAAAAAAAATTATATTATAATGAATTATATCTGTCAGGGAAAGAAGCATTTCCAAATGTTAATAAACATTAACTATCAGACCACCTGGGTATTTATTTTTACTCCAGTATATCTCTATCCCTTTTTTTAAACACCTTTTAGAGAAAAACTAGAAACATTTATAAACCAGACTAATATTGTATACTCACAAATATGCCCAATTTGATTTGGCAAAGAGGAATGAATTGATCCTAAAACAGGAGTTCCAACAGAAAATCAATTCTTCTTAGTGTACTTTATTTAGCATTTTAAGTGCTACTTAAGTGTACTTTTAAATCAATTAAACCAGCCATGAAGGGTCTCAGTTCTTTATAACCAAATTAGATTGGATTAAAGTTTGCATTTGATATATTTGAATTCTCTTAGAACGTAGAAGCTATTGTCAAAGTCTTTATTTCATTTTGCTAGATAAATTCACATTGTATTTTAATTCTGGAAATCTAGGAGTGTCCAGAATCATCACTCATTTGCATGAATTAATGTTTACATGAATATTAGTTGTCATGTACAAGATTTTCAGAGAGAAACCCTAAATTTGATATTTAAAATTTATACCTGATAGTTTCAATAGTAAATTAAATCTTTTGGCTTCATCTTCAAGAAGAAACCAAGAAAGAAGAAAGATGGACTGAGCATTATGATAAGAATTACAGTATATCTCAAATTACATATTAAATACTGTCCCTGAATGCATTTTTATAGCAAATGAAAACTGTCATGCAGGACAGCATTATTATGACTGAGTTGTTTGCAATCAAAATAAAAGATAAAAACAAGAACATTGCCCGAAATGAAATAAATGTGCAGAATTATTATTATTATTATTTTGAGTTTGAGCTAACAAATATATTGATTTAAAAACATAGGAACATGGAAAACTGGTGGTGGAAAAAGACCTAGTGATCCATTCAGTATGCTATTTGAGTTTAGTTGGGGGGTGTTTTCTTTTTAACTAATTGATTTATTATTTTTCCATTATTATTTTTATTTATTTTTATTTTTGTTGGATAATGGACATGCATGTTTAAACTCAGTTACTGATGATTGACCCACTTACCTTTGCTGAGTTGTTCCACACTTCCACTCCTCTCTATGAAGTCACACTTTCTAACATTACTTTTGAACTTCCCTCCTGTCAATTTGGTGGTGTGGGGGCTCAGCAGTTAAGACGCTGGGCTTGTCATATGCAAAGCCGACAACCCAGATTGAAGACCCAAGCTCCATGCAATGGAGTGAGCTCCCACCCTCGCCCCAGCTCCTGGCAGTCTAGCAGTTCTAAAGCATACAAATGCAAGTAGATAAAGAGGTACCACTTTGGTGGGAAGCTAACAGTGTTCCGTGACATCATGCTGGCCAAATGACTGCGGAAATGTCTTCAGATAGCATGGGCTCACTGGCCTTGAAATGGAGACGAGCACCACCCTCTATAGTCAGCAGTGATTAGCGGTGTAAAATCCACAGGGACTCTTTTATCTTGTTTTAACCTGTCATTTTGAGACTATACCCCTGCGTTCTTGATTTTTGCTTAGTATTGAAAATACTACCTTCTAGAACCTTTAATATATTTAAAGGTTTCAATCATATAGTGACCACAATATGATCGACTTTTGTCTCAACATACATCCACACAAAAATCACCACAATGATGTAATCCCCTATTGTAACTTCAAAAAAGGCAACTATGATCTTATAGACAACGATCTCTCATCCCTTGATTGGCAATCTCTATTCACTGGATGCAATACCGTTGAAGACCATTATAACATATTTTTACTTGAAGTCAAAAGAGTCATCAAACTATATGTACCAACAACAACTCCCAAAACAAAACAAAAAAGCAGATTACCCATATCAATAAGGAAACTTCAATCCAAAAAGAGATCACTCTGGCGGAAAAACAAATCTGGTCACGTTGCCAATTTCAAAAACCGATACAAAAATCTATGCCACCAGATAAAGACCGAATGCACCAATTATCACATTAAACAAGAGGAAAACCTTCTAAGCACCAATTCCACCCGCGCTTTTTACAATTTTGTAAACAACAAACTAAAAGACTCAAGGTCCAT